CGACAGTCCATGGGGTCACAAAGAGTCAGACATGACTGAGAGACTCACACTAACTAACTAACACTAACAGGCTGTAACAAGGGCTGTTACATTCACGATGTCCCCAAATTCTCAGCACAAACTAATTGAGGAACTGAGGCCTGGAGACCCTCGCCCCAGGTCACCCAGGTGTTCAGGGGCTGAGCTGCAGGCCACGTGCTTCCAGAGCCCCTCTCCTAACCGTGGGTTGGGCTTGTAGAGGGCGCTCAGGCAGGGTGCCAGGACCACTGGACCAGGCCCTGTTCGGCCCTGTTCCTTGGTCTCCTTTGCCAGCTCTGAGCCAAAGGTTGGAGGATCAGTCACTCATCAGCAAACCCTGCTCCTCACCTGGTTCCTCTGAACTGCAATCTGCGCCCTGGTTTCTGGCCACTTCCTAGGGAGATCGGCCCGTTCATGCCAGGAGGACGGTCTCCTGCAGGGGGCCACTCGGACCCCAGAATCTGGGCCTTTGGAGGAGAAACCCCGAGCATCTGTTCTGAAAATCCCTGCTCATTTTTCTCTGGACATCTCTTCCACGTGTTTCCAGGACAGAAAATTGCAGAGGTTTTGCTAGCTGCTCTCACTTCTTCCTCCTCCCTCTGCAAATAATCGTTGTTTGGAAATTCTTACAAAGGAAGCGGTTGAGTTTGCAGCTGAGAGATGTGGAGGTGAACAGCAAGAAACCACCAGCCCGCCCCAGAGAGGCGGTTTGTGGGGCGGGGCTCCCCCACCACCTCGGGGAGGCACTCCTGCCCGGCACAGTCTGAGCACAGCCATGCACCCTGCCGGGGCGCTGCTGGCCGTCTGTGGCCTGGTCCTGGGTGTCTTGGGGAAGGCTTCACCAGGTAAGAGGGGATCTCCCCACTGCCCCGGGCGCCATGAGCTTGATGCTCACACGTCACCAAGGCACGTTCCAGGGGACCTCATAGAGGCTGCCTTTGTGGGGAACAGGTTTTAGGGATACTGGGGGCTCTGTTCCCCGCCATTCCTGGTGTCTGTGGGTGCCCAAAGGAGGCCCTCCCCCAGGGCCCCTCCGTGGGGACAGCTCGCAGGGTCAGGCCATTTCTGAAAGCGCATCCTTCCGGCCTCCACTGCGGCCCTGTGACTTGTCTAGGGGAACATTTATCCTTCCGGCCAGGCCGCCACTAGGGGAAGCCGAGGGGAGCTGCCAGGAAATGAGACCCAGAGAGGGTAGGTGACTCGCCCAGTCACACAGCCCCTGAGCACCTGGCCCCACGTGCACAAGGAAGCTGTTGGCCGGAGCTGAAATGACCAGCGGCAGTGCAGGGCGTAGGGGCAGTGCCCAGGCAACAACTGTTCTCTGCCTTCCTCCATCTTCAAAGGAGGCTGAAGCCTGGCCACAGGTGACCAGGTGGAGGTGCCCGGGCAGGTGACAAGGAGACAGCCCAAGCTTCTCAGTCCCTGGAGGGGTCACAGTCTTGGGAGTGGGTGACACTGCCTGGGGCTCTGGCCCATCTCGGGGATCACAGGGACCAGACACCCCACCTCGGTCCCCTCCCCAGGGTCGTGGTCTTAGCTCACACTGTGAACCCCACAGGGCCTCTCCTCTGGGCCATCTGTCTGCCTGGGACCCCTGAGTGCCCATCCGAAGGGAAAGCCTGAGTGAGAGGCCCACGTTTCCACCACACTGGGATGGGCGTTCCTGCTCTCCCCGGCCCTAAATTGCTCCTGCTGCCTCCCTTCCTCCCCTAACAAAGGGATGGTGAGGGGAATCCTGGCCCAGAGGCACTGGGAGTGGGCCTCTTCCCTGGGTGGGACTGCCTGCCCTCTGCCGGGGTTTGGCCCTGAACCCAGCCGTCTCCAACCCCGCAGGAGTGGCCTGCCCCTGCTATGCCCCTTCTGGCTGGCCCCCCCCCACCCCCATCAGCTCTGCTCACAGCCCCACAGCCCAGAGGAAGGAGGGCCCAGGGTCCAACTCACATGCAGAGGCCTTGGGAGCTCCAGCCTGTCTGAGCTCAGTCTCACCATCCATGAAATGGGCAAATTACCGGACCGCCGGAGGCCCAGGAGGAGCCTGGCTGCTGTGGCCCAAGGAAGGCAGTCCCCCTGGGTCTGGGGTGCTGGGCAGTCACCCGCCCAAACCCCAGGTCCTGAGTCTCTGCTGGCCGCAGCCCGCATGCCACACAGACCCTCTCTGCTGTGATGGAGCCCAGGCCCAGCGAAGGCCTCTGGCCCTGTCTATAGAGTGAGGGGCTTAGAGATCCTTGGCTGGTGGTCCGGCAGAGACAGTTCAGCCCTGGCCCTGAGTCTGCCCTCACCACAGCCTTCCTCCAAGAACAGATTCCAGAGCCTTCCACAGTGGTGGGACAGGGGTCCCCAGTGTCACGCCCTGGGCCTGACTTCTCCCCACCCCTGGCGCTGACCTGAGCCCTTCAGAACCTAGAAAACCGCTGCGCTGATTTCTTCCGCTGCTCTGCCTTCAGTTGAGAATGGAAAGCCCTCTCTCTCAAGCTGACTCTCACCTCTCCTGGGAAGCCCCCCTAGTCAGGCTCCCAGGGGCCCAGCTTCCCACCACAGGCCACCTGGGCAGGGCCTGGGGTCCAGCCCACCGGCCACCAGTGACAGGACCTGGGCACACCCAGAGACCACTGTCCACAAGGGAGGCCCATGCCGGGCTGCATCCCGTGGGGGGAGAATGCCGCATCTTGGCATGGGGGCCCCTGACCCACCCTCTGCATTCTGAGGTTTTTTCCACCTGGGACACCCTTTACCCCCACTGCATATATGCATTTTGCATATTTGATATTTGACAGTTGCGACACTATTACACGCCCATTAGCAACAAGACCTTCCTACAGATGGTCTCTGGTACTTTCACCACAACCCTGAGTGGTAGGTGCCATCAAGAGAGGCTCAGAGAGGTCAAGCAATTTCCCCAAGACCACACAGCCTTTGAGAGACAGAGCTGGGATTCACTCTGGGCGGGTCCCAGTGGGTTAAGGCTGGGACTAACTAGCATCCTGTCTGTGCCGGGGGACACACACGCCCCCTAAACGAAGGGCAACTCATCCCTCAGAGCCCCCAGAGCACAGCCGGTGGGTGTGGCCCCACAGAATTAAGGGCAACCACCGGCTCACTGAGATGTGATGTCACATGAGGGGGCATGGCTCGGGGTGAACCTCCAGGCAGACTATGGACACCAGCATCCCAGTCCCTGGGCACGACCCCTCCCCACCCCGGTGTGAGCCCCAGGCCCTGCCCACGACAAGGGCCCCATGAAACTGGCAGGGAAGCAACCACCAGGAGGAAACCCCCGGGCACTCAGTGTGGGGGATGGGCCTTCTGCAGAGACGTCAGAGTGTTCCACTCCTGGGCACCCTGGTTCTCTTCTCGGGTTACCCCCCTCCCAGGCACACCTAGAAGAACACTCCTGAAACAGGAAGAGGTGGGGAGCCTTGGGCCACTCAGGAGCCCCCTTGCCCTTCCACACCAGGAAACTCCCCTCCCCAAAGGGCCGTTTCATCCACCCACGGGGAGGGACCGCGAGGCCGGAGAGACGGACTCCCCAAATGGCCCGGCTCCCTCCCCATCTTCAGTGGGTGGACCACGGCCAGCGTCCCAGGCTTCAGTGCCTCCCATGTGTTTTCAGTTTTTAGAAAAACAAGTTGAGGGACGTTTGTTTATGCAAAACATTTGCTACTGATTCATTTTACAGCCGGTCTCTGTCAGGAAGTTGCTGTCCTCTCCCGGGATGCTTTCTGAACATTTGGTGGTGATTCGAGGGCAGACCCTGTCCTCTGTAACCAGAGTGGGAACAGTTAATGGCTGCTGCCACTCCCGGGGCTGCAGACAGCGTCCCCTGAGCTCCGGTCCACCTGGTCAGCAGTGGACCTGCCCTGACCCCTAGACGCCTGTGAAGCGCCCACACACTCCTGGTGGGAGCAGAGTGCCCCACTCCATGAGGGCGAGCACAGGGCCTGGCCACCGAGAGCATGGGGGGAGGCTGGCGTTGGTTCTGAAGAAGGGGTTGTCCGGCAGGGAGGACAGCAACTGGAGGAGGGGTCACTCAGGACGCTGATGGAAAGTTAACTTATCAGCCAGAAACATCGGAACGGTTCCTTGACACTTTGCTTCCCACTCTCACCACCAGGAGAGGAGAGAGTCCTCGATTCCCTTGCATCTGGGGCTGAAGGGGCCTGGGGTGACTTCACAGAAGGGAGTGGCCGGGGAGTCCACCGGGATAGCCTGGCCCGAGCCATCTGGGGGTCAGTGGGAGCAGCCTTGGCAGTGTCAGGGTGGGTGGGCAGGGTCTGCCAGGGGCCGGGCCCACACGGGTTCCTGCCCATGATCTGTCTGGGCCCAGTTCTGTTACCCTGGTCTGAGACGACACCCCGTCTCCACCAGGGGCGTCTGCTCTGGCCGCGGGAAGGCTGTGCCTCTGCCATCCTCCCTCCAGGCCTTTGCACTCCTGTCCAGGGGCTTATCTGGGTGTCATGACTACTGTGTCTCCGGGAGCGGCCAGACCCCTGACCCAGTGCCGGCCACCTGCCGCCGTCCCCCTAACCTCCCCAAGTCCCTGGCTCCTCCATGTCTTCTTTGCCGAATCTCCTGCCGCCTGAGTTATTTTTTCCAGAGCAGCTGAAGAGCTCTTTCTCTCCCAAGAGCTGTGAGGGGCCCACCTCCGTCTCCCCTGTGCCCCTCTGGGCCGCAGCCTCCATCGCCCCACCTCATCTGGAGACCTCACTTCCTTCCATGCCGCCCCTGGGTGTGGGAGGCAGAGCGTTTGTTCCTCCTCACAACCTCGCCTCCTGGTGGCCCTCTCAGCCCACGTCACCAGGCCACCACCTGCCACCAGCGTGAGTCACAGTCCCGTTCCGGGCCCCACACCCAGCCTCCAGCTCAGGGCTCTCTGCTCTCCTTTCCCGCCCCTCCACCCCCCAACCCCATGTACCTCCCGGGCCTCCAACTGGTCCCCACCTTGCTCCCTCCTGAAGCCCTTTCTGCCAGGTCACTGTCACCATCACCGACCCCCACCTCTGGACTGTGTGCCCCCCCCAGCCCCCGGCATCACTCCCAGCACCCCTCCAGAAATACTTCTTGAGAGAAAAAAAGAGCACGGCTTTAGAACATGGAATTAAATCCGCCCTGCACTTCTCGGAGGCCTGTTTTCTCCCTGTAGACAGGGTACAGGTGCAAGGAAGACAGCCCCCGGGAACCCCTCGGTGGGGGTGGGGGGCCGGGCTACCTGGCTGGGACCCTGGCCCCCACACGGCTGCCTCTCTTCTGGAAGAAGATCCCCCCCAACCTTGGGCTTATTCTGCCCCCAGCTTTTCCCTGTAGATGTCTTGAAGAATCGTTCTGAAAATAGGTTTGACTTTTCAACTTTTTCAAACTAAAAATGAGGTTCTATCGTTTGCTCCGACTAGTTTGCTGACAAGGCCTCAGTGACCTGAAGCCTGTATTTTAGGAAATGTAGTTAAAAATAAACCAAATTCAATGATTCTCACAACCTCTGTAATTTTACCGAAAGCACTGAAGAACTGACGTCAGACGTTTGGGAGGGCCGTTCATCGGAGGTCTGGCCTCGCCTAGTTTCACTTCGTTATTATTAATACAATCACGTTAAGTTCAAGTGAAATGAAATTTAATACATTTTATTTAAAAAACAGGTGGCAGTGATGATCTTTGCAACACTGAGAGTGAGCTCTAACATTTTTGTTATACTTTTCTATATTTTTCAAGTTTCCTACCAGATAGGTAAGCTAATAATCATAAAAGGCACCATATGTGATTCGTACAAAGGAAAAATCGACAGCCATGGATATAGATCCATAAACACACGGGAGACTGGGCTGTCCAACAGGTGCTCCTGCTGTTTATAGACTATGCTGATGAGCAGAAATCAAGCTGTTCTCCCAACAGAAAACCACACTGGACTTCCCGTCGTCAACAGCAGGCCAGGAGCTCTCCAGCACCAGAGTTGGAGCCACGGGCTCAGGGCCCAGATGGCCAACCAACACAGCTGCCATGTCCAGAGACCTCAGCCACGGCCAGCCTCTGTGGGACATCACGAGGGCTGGGTCACTGCAAAGGAGAGTCTCAGAGACGCTGGGGACAGAGCTTGGTGGGGGACCAGTGACAGCATCCCGTGCCGGGACGTTCTCACCAGGGTGGAGCAGGCCCCCAGCTGAGCGGGCCTCGCAGAGCCATCCAGAGCTCCAACTCGACCAGAGACCCAGCTGGGCCCACCTGCCAGGAGGGGTCCCGCTCGGGCAGCCAGTGCCAGTCCCCCTGACAAAGAGGCTGTCACAGGCGCCAGCGGGCCACACGGAGGGTCAGGGGCCCTACAGAGACCCTACCCAGACCCAGACGGGGCCTGCGGCTTCTCTGCCCAAGGCCAGGGCCCCTTCCACGCTCCACCCCTTAGCTGGGCTAATGTGGCCGGCCCGGCCGGCCTGGTTCTCACTCCTGGTGGGGGTCTCCTGTGCCTGCTGCCACGTCAGATGCCCAGTTCTAAGGAGGGCTTCGTGAAGACCTCAGGCAACTGTGGAACCAGCCTTCTCCGGGAGCCTTGATCTAAGCCACATCAGTGACACCCCGGCAAGATCACCCTGCAGAGCTGAGCCGGGCGTCCGCCACGTCCCAGCCTCTGCTAGAATCCACAGACAGGCCGGCCCCAGGAAAGGTTCCAGCATCTCTGACTGAGCACACAGACCCACACAGGCCATCCTGCCAGGTTCCTGGGGCCCGGCTCAACCAGCCCACTGGGCCTAACCCCCACCCACCCCCAGCTCAAGTTGAAGGTCCTCTCAGCCTGGTCAGCCTCATGACTTGGGGTCTCTGTTCCCCAGTCCGGCCCCTGAGGAATGAAGCCCCCATGCGCTGCTGACCTCACAGCATGGTTTTCCTCCCAGGAGTCAAGATTTCTTCACAACCAGGGAGCTGTGTGTCCTCTGATAGTGGGGCCCACACCCAGCACCCCAAGTCTACAGTCCCAGCGAGTCCCCCATGAGGAGGGACCCGGGCAGCACTGACTCCTTCTCTCCACACTCTATGCCTGGAAGCTCATCCACACGTCTGTGGCTCCGGCCTGCCCACCTTGTGCTGACCCCAGCCCCACTGAATCCTCAAGGTGCTCCTCAAGGTCACGGCCAAGGGAGGCAGAGTAACCCTCCAGGCAGCACACGCCAACAGACCCTCCACACTGGCCAGAACGCAGCTGAGCCCTGACTCGGGCTGTGCATGAAACGGGGACCCCACACTCCACACGACTCAGAGGAAGACCACAGCTGAGCAGGCACCGGGGGATGGGACAGCTCTGGATCACCTCAGGCACAAGATGACTTCAGGAAAATCGGGGGAATTCCTAGTAAAGAGAAGTAATCTACCACCCAAACCCTCTTCCCGTTCTCCCTCCCCCACAATTTTTATTTTAATGCACAAGTAGTCTGTGACCACCGCAGCAAAGCCAAGAAATGTCGGCTTGAAATCCAGTCAGTCCTGAACTGCCAACTACAAATTCTGCCATCCACCTGCTTCCTGAACTTCCAGAGGAGCAGCACACGGGTGCCCCAGGGACCTGGCAACCTGGTGGTTTCAGTCCAGGGTCCCAGGAGTGATGGATGGCCTCCAGGCACTTCCCCCTCAGCCACTTGCTGGAGACAAGCGGAGGGGTCAGAGTCCAGAGGGCAGCCTCGGAGGCCAGGGGCAACTTCTCTGCACACCAGGGCTCATTCTGACAGAGGCTCTGGGGGGCTGTCTAGGTTCCTGTGACTGTCAGAGATGACCTGGCTTCTGAAAGGGGCCAGGCGGGCAGGGACAGAACCTCTTCTTATCCATCTCTCTGCCCCCCACCACACTGGCCCTCTGTGGGGGACAGGGCAGCCACAGGGACACACAGGAGATGCACCGGGAGGTGCGGGGTGGAAAGGCCAGGAGGGTACATGGCCAGGGGAGGCGGGGACAGGCCAGGTGGTTGGATGGGAGGGGTGGACGGGCAGGGGCCACACTGGGAGCAGAGGTGGGAGGCGTGATCCCTGGGCCAAGCCCCCACCGCTCAGCAAAGTTCTCATCTGGTTCTGTTTCTCGTCCAGACTTTTGCTCCCAGATCCTCAAGTCAGATGTGAAACCAGGATTTCCCAAGACCATCAAGACCAACAACCCGGATGTCCTCAGGGCGGCCCGACACAGTGCTGAGAGCTTCAACAACTGCAGCAATGACGCCTTCTTGTTCCGGGAGTCCCGCGTCAGCAGGGCCCTTGTCCAGGTGAGGTCTGGGCTCGTGACAGTGCAGGGCAGCCAGGTCTGACCAGATCTGACCTCCCAGAACCAGCCTGGGGCCACCTGCGTCAGGCTCCAAGGCCGGCACCATCTCTCAGCGGATCAGGCTTCCCCAGGGTGGACAGTGCAGCCCCTGGGGCAGGGGCACAAGTTGCACTGCTACCCACCTTCAGAGCTGCCTGCAGGCGGCTACGCCACAGCCCCAAAGCACTTCTGGCCATGCTGCCCCCACCATGCCCCGTCCCCACACACATCACATCCTGGGAGGTCCCCATGCTTCTCAGTGACCTCGTATGAGAGGCCTGATGCTCCCCACACAGAGACCCCATGGGGCAGCCAGACCTGGCTCATCCTGGGTCCTGAGAACACAGGTCGAGGGTACAGGACACAGTCACTCACCCCCTAAAAGCAGGGACCCAAGGCAGCCAGTCACAAGCTTCGCATCCACTGACCCGAGGACCCATGCTGCCCCACACCACCCGGCATGCTGACACACACTCATGGTCATCCCCTGGGCACAGGACTGGCAGGTGACTGTGTTACCCCGATTCTGTTTGGCGATTGCAAACTCTTAAGAGCGGTGCTGTCTGGATCACAGAGGACAGTCTGCGTGGGTGAAAGCTGCGCCTGGGCCCTAGGGGCCCAGACCAGGGGATTGGGGTCTTCCCTCCCCACCACCTGTAGGAACGAGGGCCCAAGCCTGGAGGGAGGGAGGTGGCCCCCAGCTTACCCCCTCTCTCACCATGTCCTGGACCCAGTGTCCAGGGCCCACCCTCTGTCCCCTCAGATAGTAAAAGGCCTGAAGTTCATGCTGGACATGGACATTGGCAGAACTACCTGCAAGAAGACCGGACACGCAAACCTGGACAATTGCAGCTTCCAGACCAACCGCACCCTGCAGTGGGTAAGAGGGGGTCTCGCCTCGCCGCCCCTCGCACCCCCCCAACCACCTCCACAGCCTCGAGGTCACCCTCAGCACTTCTCTCCCCATGAGGCTCCAGATTCCACCCTGACACCAGAAGGTGGGAGGCAGCCCCCCGGGACGTCCCAAACGCCCAGCCCTCCTCGCTCCCCAGAGGCACGTGTCCAGGAGAACACACTGAAGGCATGGAGGTGCGAGGAGAGCAGAAACACCTTTGACATAATTCAGAAATTATATATACACACTCAGGGAGAGCAGAGGCGGCAGAACTTAGTGTTAGTCGCTCAGTCATGTCCGACTCTGTGACCCCATGGACTGAAGCCTGCAAGGCTCCTCTGTCCATGGGGTTCTCCAGGCAAGAGTACTAGAGTGGGTTGCCAGTGGCAAAACTTGGTAATCTGTAAATAGAGGTGTGGAGGATGTACTGTTTTTCTCTTTTTGGCTGTGCTTGGTCTTCGTTGCTGAAGTGGGCTACTTTCTAGTCGTGGTGCAGGCCCTTCTCACTGTGGAGGCTTCTCTTGTTGCGAAGCGCAAGCTCAGTAGTTCTGGTTCACGGGCTTGATTGCCTCACAGCACATGGGAACTTCACCTAAGAGGGATCAAACTCGTGCCCCCACACTGGCAGTGGACTCTTAACCACTGGACTGCCAGGGAAGCCCAAGTGTGTATTCTTGAATTACTCTTGCAACTTTCCTGTAGATTTGAAGTTTTTCAAAATAAAGTCTGGGCAGGAAGAGAACTCTTCAGTAAAGAAAACACACATGCCTATGTGTGGGTGTGCACACAGACATGCACACATGTGAACACATGCACATAAGCACACGTGTGAGTACATAACCCCCCCCAAGGCAGTGGCACTGGGAACCTGCTTCTGCAGTGGATGGGGGTGCCTTGGTAGGGTGGGCAGACTTCAGGAAGGAAACCCTCAGGCCACCCCTCCTTTCAGACCCTCAGCTGCTACTCTGAAGTCTGGGTCATCCCCTGGCTGCAGACCACCGAGGTGTCTGTCCTCCACTGTCACTGACTGCCGCCTTCCAGCTCCGTCTCTGTTGTTACCTGTCCTTCGAGAACGGCACCTGCCAGGAACACAATGGTGGCGCCAGGAGCCCACGGACAGCCACGTCGTCGCTGGGACGGGAAGCCGGTCTGCACAGATGGGGCGAGTCCTCTGGTGCGAGTTACACAGGTTCTCGACCCCAAGGGCCTCCAACCCGACTGCCCCGAGGTCCCAGGCCCTCGAGGAAAGCCCAGAGGACTGTCCTTCAGGCTGAATAATCATCCCAGCACCAGGCAGGGACCCAACCAGCTCAGTCACAACCTCCGAGGTGAACACTTAGGAATAAACCTGAATAAAGAACTGACCTCCTTGAAGCTCTGCCTGGTGCTTGACCCACTGAGGGGAGAACTGGAAAGGTAGCTCAGTGATGGGAGGACCCACCGTACGGTGGGGCACAGTGGGAACCCCGAGTCCAGTGCCAGGGCCGAACACCTCGGGACACCCCCGTGGGGCCACCACGACTGATGCAGCACACAGGCTCTGAACTCCCCTCTGTCCTCACGCACCAACATGCGCTGGAGCACAAGGCCAGGCTTCTCCTGACAACCACGGGGCCACCTGGATGCTGCCCCACAGGCCTCACGGGACATCAGAACGGAGAGGTGTTGGGGGAGCTGCTCCAGGGCACCCCCAACCCTGACTGCTCCCCCCACCCTGTGCCCATGACAGCATCACTCACCGCAGGGGTGGGTGCCAGCCAGCAGGGGCCTCCGGCCCGCACTGCCACCCAGTCTGCGTGCTTTTTAAAACTCAGCGGCTCTGCCCTCAGAATGATTCTGACAGAGGCAAGCTGGTCCTCCATCTCATTCAGTGTCACCAGGAAAATGTCAAGTTAAGGACCCGGGATTCTAAGACGTACAGTTACCACCAAGAAGGAACACTCAGGTCTCAAACTGACCAAAACCAAACTCCAGCCAGCCAGCCCACCCTGAGTGTTCCCCAGCCTCCCTGCCAGGCCTTCCGCCCCTGCCCATCAGCCATGGAGACTCTGGGATCCAGCTCCAGGCCCCCTCCCCACCCCTACCCTGGGCTGCAGACAGACCAGGCTCTGAGGAACACCCACAGCCTAGCGTACTAACTGCCGCAAGGCTAAGTCTCACTGCTGCCCGGCCTCGGTGCCAGGGACCCAGGTACCTGTAGGTCTGACCTTGGGCTGGGCGGTCACCCTGTCCCCTACCCCCGGCCACCTGCACCTCTGGGCAGGTCCCTCCCCAGCCTCAGCTCCCCAGTGAGACTTGGCCAGTCTCCTTGTATCATTAAGAGGTCAGCACACGTGAAAACCCTTTAGCACAACAGAGCGAATGCTGATGACAGAACCTCAGCGTGAGGCCTCGGTCCTATAAAAGGCAGCGACGGAGTACTGATGGTGTTTCTGTAACAGATGATAAAGCAGCACACAATCAATGAACCACTTGCTTTAATTTTAAGAGCATGTTAGCAATTCACATTAGAACAAATCCATTTTATGTTTACAACAAAAGTCTATCATATATTTAAGACTAACAAGGCTATGCTTTACACCTTGCCATGGCAAATAACCACAAAGAACACAGGAAATGACACTTTGAGACAGAAAAGCAACACCTGAGTCAGAAAAAAAAAAAAGACAACTTCGCTGAAAACTGTGAAAAGCTACCAGCTCCTCTGCGCTAACAGTGCAGCCCTCAGCTTCCGGCTCCCAACCAAGAAACGTTCAGGGTCAGTGCGCTTGGGCTGTGTTTTCATGGCAGAATGGTCTGTTCCTGCAGACATCATACACGGGTGCACTGTTGCCTATTAAACACCATTTCCCGTGAGGTTACATCACCTGACAGGACACAGGTCACTGCCACGCAGCCAGTCTGACTGCTCTGTGCAGCTGTGTGGGAAGCTGGCCCTGAGCAGAGGTCGACCCGGAATGGGCCCCCGTCAGACTGGCTGTCCTCCCCTAAAACAGGGGCAGGGGGGGATCTGAGTCAGCACACGACACAAGTCATTCTGGTCTCAGGACTGCTGTCGGCCCTCCTTGATAGTCACTATTCATCTATTCAAAACACTGTCTTTTCAACTCACAAAGACCACTCCAGACACACAATCCCTGATGTGTTCTCACGAATACCAGGAAAGGGAGGAGCAGACGTCAGCCCTGCTTGGTAGGCTGGAAACAGGACAGCGGTGTTGTGTGGACTGAGTCAGTGTGGGAGCCCATGGGGGAGGCGCCAAGCAAGCAAGCACGATCCCAGCAGAAGAGCCCTCACGACACACGGAAGGGCAGACCTCACTCGCTGTTGGAGAGAATCAAAGCAGAGAACAAAGTCCTGGCAACACCATCCACAGGTCAATCCACAGGGGTCGCCCACCACCAGGACCACGTGTGGACACATCCGTCAGGCTTATGACACCAGAAGACAAGCAACCCCGACACATGCACTGTTCACACCTGGGTCTGAGGACGAGGAACCAGTTGTGAACAGGGCTCCTGGTGCCCGGCGCCCACCTTCCATCCCCATCCAGTGATTTGCACAGCGGGCTGTCCACAGAGAAGCCGGCTAGTCCTCTGAGTGGCTAGAATCAACATGTTCCTCCTCCACACACATCTGGGTCCTTGCCTTCAGAACACTGGCAAGGGATGGAGGGGGCCGGGCGGGGGAGGAGGGTGGGAGCCACAGGAGGGACACCCAGGGCTGAGGCCCAGTCCCTTAGGACTCTAGGGAAGAGTCTTTGCCCACACAGCCAGTCTTGAGGTCTCACACACATTTGTTCTGTGCTCTCCTCACCCTCCTGCAGTCCCTCCCTCAAAGACAGGCATCACCTGTTTATCAGCAAAGACACCAAGGCTGGTGAGACACAGCCAGCAGCAGGGATGAGACCTCAAGCTGCTCACCCACAAATCCATCCCCACCAGAGTACACCAAGTCCCCAGGTCCCATAGACAATCACCACACTTGGGGAAGTTTTTAAGAGAAAATGGCTTTACAAGGACTCATCTTCCCCTCAGCAAATGCAAGGCCGAGCCCAGGTGAGGGTGTCCTGGGGCTGCACCACACATCCCGGGCTACCGGGCATGGGAGGAAGGGTGTCCATGTGCCTCCAGGCCCAGGGGCGGAGCATGGGGTGACAGTGGGCTCTGGGTGACAACGCGCATAGGGTGACAGCAGGCCTAAGCAGACTGCAGGCGGAGTCTGCACAGGTAGGGGGCCCTGAAGGAGCCCAGGTAGAGGTGCCCGTTGTGTTCATGCGCCTCGCTCACGTAGGTGACCACCTGCCCTTCGGGGTCGTGCAGGCTCCTCCGGAAGGCCCCACTATCGCTGAGCTCCAGGACAAGGCTATACCGTGGCACAAATTTCATCACTGTCTCTTGGCTGAATAGCTGCAAAAGAAGCACAGAGCAGAGAGAGTATGGCAGGGCAGGTGTAGCCCCTGCAGCCCAGACAACAGGCCCACCTGGAGACCCACAGCCGGGCATCCAGTCCTGTCACCTGCTGGGCACATCCCACCTGCCCTGCCCTCCGCTGAACCACCTCTCCACCTGCTCCCCTCCACACAGGAGTGCAAGTGCCTTTTTAAAATATTGGTCCTAAAACATTTAGTCAAAAAATGGCTTGTGGGGCTGAGCAGGCTAGGTGTGTACAGGGGTTGCCCAGACCAGGGAGTCAGTCTGAGTAGGGAGCATCCACCCTGGAGGAGAGGCCGTGGCCCCAAGCAGGGGAGACAGTGTCCTGCAGTGGGGCGGCCGGCACAGGCTGTGGGCCCCCAAGGGGACGGCAGGCCCCTGCACATGGCTGGGAGGAGGGAGAAGGGCTGGCCGGGTACCAGAGCCCTAGCCAGGGCCATGTGGTGCTGGGGACAAAGGCTACAAATGTGGACACCTGGGCAATCTGGTCAAACAGACATAAGGGAGCACAGGAACCAGGTTTCTCACCCTTAGAGAAAGGAAGTACCAACATGGATGGTAAGAAGACACATAGATCCTGTGGTGTTGGACCAGAAACACCAGTCTTACTTAGAGTTTTCAGTTTAAAGGAACAAAGATATATGAATGTAGGTACAAAGGTCTGTCCATGAACACATGTGCACATACAGACTCAGGAACCACCGCCTGGCACCTTGCAGGACCTTAGGTTACAAACAGTTCAGTACCAGTAACTAAGGACATGGGCAGGATCCCACGGAGGGCACGACAAGGCTCCAAGAAGGCAGGAGGAAGGGGCACCTAAACCACTTGAGGAAGAGCCAAAGGGTGCGGGTCCAGGGGAGAGCAAGAAGGACGGGCAGGACAGAGGCCCAACAGGTCATGATGGTGAGGGTGACAATTCCAGACGAGGAAACCAGGAGGGAAAGAGTCAGAGGGCTCAAAGATGTAAATTTACATTTTAAGCGAAAGGATAAGTTTAAAGAAGTCACTGAAAATATCAGGTATCATAAACAGAACTAGAATTTTTAGAGCTTTCACAAGGGTCAAAAAAACCCACAATGAGATGCAGTTTCATTTTGTTTCTTGAAATCATAGTTTTCGTGTTTACCTTAAAAATCACTTTTTTAAGATAAGGCCTCTCGGATAAGAAATCCAACATGGAGAAGCCGGGATTGGCCCGGATGGCCGCCATGCTGACCCAGTACCCTCCAGAGCTGCTGGCTCGGATGTTGTCTGGGAAGCCAGGCAAATTCTCCACAAACACATCAGCCCCTCCCTTCATCAGGCCAGACACGTAAAACCTGAAAAAGTCAACCAAGCAGGCAATGAACAGCAGCCCCCCAAACAAAAAACTGGAGCCAAACACCAATGCATCCATCACCAACGAGGGCATGTGATGCAAGGGCCTGTTGCAAAGGCCTCAGAGCCCTGGGTCCAGCAGGGGCGGGAACCGGGCCAGGGCAGGAACCGGGCCAGGCCAGGACCGCAGTCAGCGTTCCATCGAGACTCTCCTAGCCCGTGATGGTCAAGAAGGCTGAGGAAGAGAAAGGGAAGACAACTCTCTCCTCACAAACGACGGGCATCTGCCGCGTCCCAGGCTCTGCAGCCAGCCTCTCACCTCGGTCCAGCCCTGCCCCTCACCCCAGCCCTGCCCCGCCTCTCACCCCAGCCTGGCCAGCTCACGCACCTCCTGATCCTCACCATGGCCAACTCCGCCACCAGGACAAAGTCCTCCGCAGGAGACAGTTGCACCCCGTTGGGGAACCGCAAGTGGTCCAGCAAAACCTTCACCTCCTTGGTTTGGGTGTCATACTCCAGCAGGCTGCGGGCGCCAACGCAGAGGGTCACATGGGGCATCTGGGAGCCTTGCTGGGCTGGAGCCCTTGGCCAGGGCCTGTGCAGGGGCACTTGGCCTCCACTGGAGTGGCAGGGCCCCATCCTCCACTCAGACCAGTTCCAGGCTGGCCCTACAGGGCCACCCAGGCACCCACCTCCAGACAAGGCTACAGTCAGTTCTCTCACCGACCTGGGCACTAGCTCACACCAGGGTGGGTCACCATTGCTCAGCCTCACAGGAGTTGAGGTTCCCCCCACCAAGTGCCAGACCACCCCCCACACCCTCAGATGGCCTGGCTGTTCTTAGCTTCATTTCTCCAAAGAGAAGTGAGAACATCTCACTGCCCTGTTGTGTCCACCACCTATTTCCAGGAGACATTAAGATCCTCCCTTAAAAGCTGAGCAGATGCTCAAAAACACCCACCAACTCCTGGGCGTGATATACTCTCCGACGTCATCCTGCCCATCTACAGCCTCCCTGGGCAGAAGATTCAGGAGCACACTCACCGCCCATCATCTCTCCCCTCCATTAACAGGAGCAGATAATCTCGTCTTTGCCATTTGCTGCTAGAATCTGTAAAGTAAATCTTCCTCCCATCCCGAGTTACTGTAAGATCGTTCAAGAAGGACATTTTCCTCCCCTCAATGGGGGTCTCGGAGGATAGCAGCAGTTTTACTTCACCTGCGGGAACAGGAAGGAAGAAAAGGAAAAGACAGGAAGAAAGAAAGAAGAAACGGGGGAGACTTGCTTTCATTATAAGAACATGTACCTCAATAGTTTCAAAATATTAATCAACCTAACTTATTTAAAAGGAAAAACTAAGGGAGCTTCTCCACTCCCTATGTCAGAAGATGCAGTACTTCTCACAGTGTTTCCCTCCTTTCTATTCAGTGATGAAATTTTTAGAACAACCCCACTAAAGGGAGAATCCTCCCTATGGACAAGGAACTCCTTCCCCAAGGCCAACTGACTTAAAAATCTGTCAAGAGTCTTGGGTTAATGAGGCAATTTTCTATTTGAGAGAAATACACAATGCTCCCCTCACCCGCTTTTAAATGTGAAAAGCAGGAGTCGCAGTAAGTCTTTTCAGACTGTAGCACACTCATGGAGTGCTCAGTTCTCTTTACGTCTAACCCCACTTAAACCGCCACAACGATCCCACAAGGCAGGCCCTCCTGTCAGCCCTACTCTGTGGTGAAGCAAGCGGGCTCAGAGGCTGGGAGTAACTGGCACATGCCAGCACCCAGCAGAGTGGGGACCACCCAGGGGCCCTGTGCACCACCCACAATGACAACTCCTCCCTCCACACGACCCTCCCCACTAAGCACACAAAGCAGTATCACAGCACTAGTCCACAGGACACCATGACCAGTCAGGGAAGGGAAACAGCAGAAGGAGCTGGAGAAGGAAAAGTAAAACGACAAAAGATGAAGGGGAAGGAAAAAGAGAAGACTGAGAAGCAGAAAACAAATAGGGAGCCCAGATGGATACACAGAAAAGTGAAGATAGGAAGAGGAGCCTCACACCCTCGGAATGAGACCTTCTGGGACCCAGGGGTCAGGGGAGAGGGAGGTATGAACCTGAGGCAGGCTCAAGTGAGGAGCCACACAATGTGAATACTGCTGCTCTCTGCTGGCAAGACCTTCAGTACCATTCAGTACGTAAGAAAAATACCAGGGCCTCTGGTAGGCTGTACTGAACAAGTTCTACTAAATCCATTTATAAATAAATGCACACATTGTTTAAAAGATCAGCAATCATCACAGAAGAAAGCAAGTTACTGGCACGTACGTTTCCAGGGATTTACTTCAAACAGCCCTTTGTACGCATCAACCACAAAAAGTGTCCCGTTGGGCCCGGCCCGGATGCCTAGGGGTCTCCCACAAGCAGGCTCATCATCTCGGGTTTCTAGGGAAACAGATAGGAATCAGTGGCTGACCCCAGATTCTGCCTGTGGCCCATCAGTGTCCAATCACCTCATCTATCCTGTCCTAAACCTGCATCGTGCTGCAGAGAACAAAACTGACCATGGCATCAGAGACTGACAAAGCCCCCTCCGTGTCCCAGGCCCCGAGAGCTTAGGTCAATTGTCCAGTCTATCCAGAGGGTCCACCGGAGAGTCAGGATGTGGACACATGCACAGCAACTAGCACTCAAGAAACACACTCACATCAGCGTTTGGAGACTCAGTCAGTGCAGGCATAGGTCCCACCCCCAGATTCCCCAGCAGACATAGGCCCCACCCCCGAATCTCCCAGCAGCCACAGGCCCCTCCCCAGATCTCCCAGCAGGCACAGGCCCCTCCCCAGGTCCCCCAGCAGGCACAGGCCCCACCCCCGGATCCCCCAGCACTCCAGGAGTGGGGTTGAAGCCCCACAGCTGGACCTGAATGCTGTGCCCATCTAAGGACATGGCAGGGTCCCTCCACCCATCATAATGGAAAAGCTACCATATTACTCCTTAGATCCATTCTCCTGCTCTACTACCTATATTCTTTTTAAACCTGTGGCAGAGCATATTTAGTGCTGGGCACTCACTGCAGGGGACTTACCACAGGGTGCTTACTGCAGGGTACTTATTAGTGCTTATTGCAGAGTGCTTACTACTGAGAGCTTACTACTCAGTGCTTATTGCAGGGTGCTTACTACAGAGTGCTTATTGCAGAGGGCTTACTGCAGGACACTCATTGCAGAGGCATTTAACATGTGTGCTTACATTAGGATGCTTACCACAGGATGCCTACTGTAGAGGCACTTATGGCCACAATACAGATTGGGAAAAGCAGGTTAAATACTCATATGCAGAGTATGATCCCATCACTTACAACCATGTGTGGGTGTGAGTCCATGAACAGAAAGAGATCTGAAAAGTTATTCATTACATTGTTAAGTTACACCTGAGAAGACTCTAGGTGATTTTTACTTTCTTCTTTGTGCTGTTCGCATTTTACTATAAAAATGCATCATTTTTACAAAAACATTCTAGCTCCTAACAAAAGGATAGTAAGTCTGCTACCAGTGCTTAAATAGTGAATTTCTAAAACCTGAGGGACCTAAGGGTAATTCACTCTGGATGAAGGGCTGAGGTCCGTGCTAGGCTAGTACGGGAATGCACTTCAGCACCTGAGGAACAAAGCCTAGCACCTCCCACAGCAGCTCTGGGGTGCCTGCTGAGGTGAGGGATGTGAGGGGCCTGCAGGGAAAGTATGACCACAGGGGGCCTCAGCTGGGCAGCGGGGCTCTCCTCTTCCAAAGACCTGACTTCCAGGAAACACAGCTCCTCTCAGCACCTTCCTTGGGTGCCTGGAAGAGACACAAAGGCAGTCACCAAAACTTACTGCATGGGCCTGAGCCAAATCGAGCAATGGTCTCTACTTCACCATTTTCAAGTTTTACAACTCGGCCATCTGCTGTACCCGTGAACATCACATCTGTTCAAAGACAGGAAAGAGTAAGGGTGTTACTGGGTTAGCCTAAGAACTATGCTCTCACCACCACCTACAACAGAGGTGGTCAGTCTGTGCTTTGTCTCCAGAGAGGAAACGGCAGTTTTGAAAATGAAAGCAAGTGGTGTCTGGGGCCAAAGTCTTAACACGTGCAGCAATAACGCCATAGAGGCCTTGGAACCAGCATGGGCGTGACCCTGAGGCTGGAGCAAGGGCACAGCAGACACCACAGATAAAAACAGTTTTCTACCCTCAAAGAAGCGGGAACCCTCGGGCTGGTACTCAGCGATTGGGTCTGTTCACATCTGCCTCCTGGCAGTGTCTAATTGCTGAAGGTGACTATCCAATCAAAGGGAAACAACTGCTGGGAAGGCCCCTGGGTGTAAAATCAAGTGCTCACTTCAGCAGCACATATACTAGAACCAGAACCACGCAGAACTTGCAATGATGTGCAAATTCATGAAATGCTCCATATTTTTAAATGTAAATATTGCGAACTCTAGGGGAGCCACTAAAAAAAGTATTTAAAATAAGTACAACTGATAGGCAAAGAATGGACAGAAAAGAGAATCATATAAGATGCTCAACTGAAACTACTAAACTCCCAAAGTAGATGAGAAAATAAGGAAGAAAAAAACATAAGCAATGAATAAAAAAGAGTAACAAACATGGGAGAGAGTAACCCAACAACAGCTGACCCTTGAACAACTGGGGGTTAGGGGGCGTCGACCCTCTGCACAGTCAAACATCTGTGGATAACTTTATAGTCAGCCCTCACATCCTCAAGGTCCTGAATCTGTGAGGTTCTGCATTGCAAAATTCCACACCCACAGATTTAAGCAACTGTGCTGCAGAATGTGTTCAATGGGAAAAAATCCATGTTTAAGTGAACCTGAGAGCTGTTCAAGGGTCAAGTGTAATCAATTATCATTTTAAACATTAATGGTATAAAAACCTCATTAAAAGATAGAGATTGTCAGAGTGTATCAGAAAACAAGATGCAATGAAATGCAGTCTCTAAGAAGCTCTCTTTAAATATACAGACACAGAGATGAAAAATGAAGGGGTAAAGAAAAATATACCATATTAACACTAAGAGAGAGCTGCAGGGCTAGGAACATGATCAGGGATAAAGACCAACCGGTAACAACAAAGGTCAACTGTAGAGAAGACACAACAGTCCTTAACATGTATGCACCTGATAATAACTGTCAAAATACATGAGGCAAAACTGATACAACTGCAAGGAAACACAGGAATCCATGATTAGAGGAGGAGACCTCAGCATCCCCCCTCAGAAATGGAAAGACCCTGATGGGCAACAAGATCCGACTGCACAGCACAGTTAGAAAACAGGAAGCTATCTGCAATGTCCTGGGGTAAACCATAATGAAAAATAAAACATAAAAGAATGTACATATATGTATAACTGAGTCACTTTAATGTGTAGCGGAAATTAACACAACACTGTAAATCAGCTATACATTTAAAAAATAAATAAATAAATGGACAGATCATGCCAACAAAAAAATCAACCCTAACTGAAGCCCATTCGCCTATAGCCGGTGCTCCACCAGAGAAGCCACCACAATGTGAAGCCCCTGCACTGCAACAAACAGTAGCCCCCACTTGCACAACTAGAGAAGCCCGCGCAAAGAAAACCCAGTGCAGCCAAAAACAATAAATAAATAAGAAAATCATACAAAACACAGTTGAACTCAACAGCATCACTGATTAACTGGATATAACTCACACCCTTCAACACCTCATCCAACAAACAGCAAAATATATTTTTTTCTTGAGTTCACATGAAACATTCACCAAGGTAGACCACATTTTGGGCCATAATATATGCCTTAATAAGTTTAAAAGAACAGAAATGATACAATGTCTGCTCTCACACCAACATGAAATTAAACTAGAAATCACTAAAAAAAAGAGAGCTGAAAATCCCAAAATACTTGGAGATTAAACACCACACACTTCTAAATGACACATAGGTCAAAGAAGAAATCTCAAGAGGAATTACAAAACATTTTGAACTAAGGTAAAATGAAAACACAACTTACCAAAAATTTCCTGGAGGCAGAGAAAACAGTGCTTAGAAAGAAAATTACAGCATCAAAGACACATATTAGAAAAGAAAAAGACCTAAAATCAGTCATCTAAGCTTCCATATTTGGAAACTAGAAAAAGAAGAGCAAAGGAAACCCAAGGTAAGCAGAGGAAAGAATAAAAATTAGAGCAGATATCAATGAAATTGAAATAGGAAATTAATAAAGAAAAATCAACAGAAACAAAAGTTGGTTCTTTGAAAAAAATCAATAAAATAAATACTCCTTTAGCTAGGCTAACAAAGACAGAAATTACCAATATCAGAAGCAAAAGACCCCATGGGCATTAAGAGGATACTAAAGAAACACTAGGAACAACTTTAAGTCCTCAAATCTGATAATGTAGATGAAACAGTCCGATTCCTTGAAAGACACAATCTGCCAAGATTCACACAAAAGACAATCTGAATAGGCCTATATCTATTGAAGAAATTAATCAATAGTTAATAGCCTTCCAAAACAGCAGCAGGCTGAGATGGGTTCACTGAACAAAACATTTAGGAAGGAAGAAATGGTACCAACTTTCTATATCTTCCAGAAAACAGAAGAAGAATACTTCTTAACTCATTCCATGAAGCCAGCATCACTTTAATACCAAAACCAGATAAAAGTCATTTCAAGAAAACTACATACCAATATCTCTCAAGTACAAAGATGTGAAAATTCTCAATAAAATATGAGCAAATCAAATCCAAAATGTATAAAAGGAATTATACACCCCAACCAAATGGGATTTATCCCAAGTATGTAAGGCTAGTGTAGCATCTGAAAATCAGTTAAGTAACCCATAATATCAACATACTAAAGAAAAATTACATGAACTTATCAACAGATGCAGAAAAAGTACTGACAAAAATCCAACACCCATTTCATGATAAAAACTTTCAGCAAATTAGGAACAGAGGGGAACTTCCTCAACTTGATAAAGAATATCTACCAAAAAACCTACAGTTACCATCATACTTAATGGTGAAAACTAGAAGCTTTCTCACTAAAATCAGGAACAAAGCAAGGCTGTCTCCTTTCATCACTTCTTTACAACTCTGGGCTGAATGTTCTAGTTAATGCAGTAAGACCAGAAAAGGATATAAAAGGTATAAATAAAACTATCTTCCTTTGTAGATGACATGACTGTCTATGTAGAAAATCCCAAAGAATCAACAACAATAAGTTTTGAAAACTAATAAGCAATTATAGGAAGGTTGCAGGATACAAAGATAATATACTAAAGTCAATCAGTTTCCTATATACCAACAATGAACAAGTGAAATCTAAAATTAAAATCAGAGCATCAGAAGGTGTTTCACTACCTTCCAAAAAGAATGAAATATTTAGGTCTAAATATAATGAAATATACACAAGATCTAGATGAGAAAAGCCATGAAATTCAGATAACAGAAATCAAAGAACTTAATAAAGGGAGAGAGAGTCCATGTTCATGGATTAAAAGACACAACATTGTCAAGAGGTCAGTTCTTCTCAACCTGAGCTCTAGATTCAGAGCGATCCCAGAAGCTATTTTGTAGATAATCTACAAAATTATCCTAAAGCTTACACGAAGAAGCAGAAGATCCAGAAGAGCCAACAAAATTCTGAAAAAGAACAAAGTTGGAGGACGGACACTACTATCCCTGTAGGAAGTCCCATGTAGGGACTTCCCTGATGGTACAGTGGTTAAGACTTCACTTCCAATGCAGGGGATACAGGTTTGGTCCCTGTTCAGGGATGCCTCTCGGCCAAAAAAAAAAAAGAAGAAGCAATATTCAATAAAGACTTAAACAACTTACCATAAAGCTACAATAACGAAGCCAATGTGGTAACAGCAAAAGAACAGAAAAACAGATCAATGGAACAGAATACAGAGCCCAGCAGCAGACCCAAAACTCATCTCTAACAAAAGAGCAAAGGCAACACAATGAGGTATAGACGGTCTCTTCAACAAATCTTGCTGGAACAACTAGACATCCACATGCAAAAAGAGGAACCTAGACACAGACCCTACACCCTTCACAAAAATTAACTCAAAATGGATTTCAGACCTAAACATAAAACTACAAAACTCCTAAAAGATAAAAAAGGAAAAAACTTAGTTGACTTTGTGTGTGGTTGATGACATTTTAAATACAACACCAAATACATGATCCATAAAAGAAAGAACTGATAAGCTGGGCTTCGTTAAAACTTAAAAACCTCTCTGAGAAAAACACTGTCTAGAGAATGGTAAGACAAGCCCAGACTGGAAGAAAATATCTGCAAACAATGCATCTGATAAAGGACTTGCATCCAAAATATACAAAAAGTTCTTTAAACTCAACAATAAGAAAATGAACAATCCAATTTTAAAAATATCCCAAAGACTTAAGACACTTCACCACAGAAGATCTATGGTGGAAAACAAACACATGAAAAAATATTCCACATCATATATCATCAGGGAACTGCAAATTAAAACAGCAATGAGATACCATTTCACAACTATTAAAATGGCCAAAATCTGGAACACTGACAGCACCAAACACCAGGGATTTATCCGGAGCTACAAGATTTATGGAGCTACAAGAGCTCCCACTCATGACTGGGGGGAGTGCAAAACGGTACAGCCACTTTTGAAGACAATTTGGCAACAAAGGTGAATGGAACAATGAACTATGATATATCCAGGCAATGGAATATTATTAATTAATAAAAAGGAATGAGCTACAAAACTGTAAAAAGACTTGTGAATGTGAAAGTCGCTCAGTCGTGTCTGACTCTCTGCAACCCCCATGGACTGTAGCCTACCAGGCTCCTCTGTCCGTGGAGATTCTCCAGGCAAGAACACTGGAGTAGTAGCCTTCCCTTCTCCAGAGATCTTCCCAACCCAGGTCTCCCACATTACAACCAGATTCTTTACCATCTGAGCCACCAGGGAAGCCTAAGAATACCGGAGTAAATAGAACCTTAAAATGCATAACAGTAAGTGAAAGAAGTCAATCTGAAAAGACTACCTGATGGATGATTCTAACTCTAAAATATTTGGGAAAGGCAAAACTATGGAAACAAGAAACAGATCAGTGGTTGCCAGAGGCTTGGGGGCAGAGTGGGATGAAGAGGCTGAACACAGCAGATTTGAGGGGGCGGTAAAAATTCTCTGTATGATAATCTAATGATGGATACATGTCATTAAACATTTGTCCAAACCTGTAGAATGTACACACCAAGAGTAAACCCTAGACTCCGGTGATGATGATGTGACAATGAGGAGTTGTCAACTGTACTCTCAATAAATGTACCATCTTGGGGGAGATGTTAATAATAAGGCAAGTAGGGGGTAGGGGATATATGGTAAATCTCTGTACCTTCCCCTCCATGTTGCTGTGACTCCAAAATTACTCTAAAAAGTAAAGTCTAAATGATGTTCATTGGTAACTCCTCTCCTGGCACCTCCTGAGGTAAGTACCTCCCTCCACTGTCAGCAGCAGTGGGTCCAGGTGCCCTCATGCAGTTCACACCTGCAGGGAATAACCAGAAATGTCACCAAAAGACAAGCAGTTCCCTTAAGAGAGAAAAGGAGGTGTGATGACAGAGCAAGATAAGGCATCAGGCCCAGTGGCAAAGACAAGAAAAGCATTCTCTGGGAGATTTGGGTGGGGGGGATCTCTGGGACTCCTTAAAGTTCCAATTTTAAACATCAATACTAGATTTCTTAACCAAAAATACAAGATTTGTGAAATTAATAAACATCAATGTCTTTTTAAAAGAAATATGAAGTTCTATCACAAAGTGCCCATCTCTCTTGAGCAATTGACTCTGCCGGACAAAAAGCAACAACTAACTACAGAAATACCTCAGGCTGGCCAAACAGCAGGGCTCAGAAAGGCAGGCTGGTTAACAGCTTTGGAGGTGGAGGCGCGGGCCTGATGGGCTTTCAGAAGGAAACAGAAGCATGGGCAGCCACCCATGACTGTTCCACCACGCTCTGACGTGATGGCCAGTGAGCTGAGGTAACAAGTTGCAGGAAATCCTCACGCCTCAATCCTTGCCAACCTTTTCACTAACCGTATCTTTTGACTCCTAAGCTTAATTCTCATTCTAACAGACAAGGAAAGGCCTGTTCCAGGTTGCTACAGACTCAAGAATTAGAACCAGACCCTCTTCTAGTCTGGAGGTTCGGGCAAGTCTGAAGCACATGGTTACCCTAAAATGTCCCCACCAAGGTGATCTTTAAAAAAAGTGGAAATACTGAGAATGGTTCCTGTTCTTGTCAAAAATGAAATCTACACAAAGACAACCTATGCTACATCAAGTAACATCTATCCAACTGTGACCAATGAACTAAATACCAGTGTTCACATTTTTCCTTTCTCCTTTCATTTTAAAGGATCCAACAGTTTGAGCAGAATAAAGCTTGACAGGAACTCAGAATCACCCAGCACTAAAATGGCTTGAAACTCAGAGAGGCAAGAGGCTCCCTAGGGGCATCTGCTAGACAAACAGGCACAATCACAGCCAAGAAGGCTGCCCAGGACTCCCCTTGGCACTGTCCCCACAGGACCCCGCTCAGGCAGCAGACAGCGACAAGTCCCAGGGGTCTACTTACCCCCAATATTTGCTATGGACTCTGGCCCAACAAGCTGATTTTCAAATAGCCTTTCCACCTGTTGTAACTTCGTATTTGGCTGCAGCACACCAAGGAAGAGAGGGGGTTCTTTGAAGCTGTAAAATAATGCAATTATGGGGATGTCTATAAAAATATATGAAGAAAGTATTTACTGAAGACTTGCAAGGACCTACATGTATAACTCCCCGTTCTTTGACAAAGGGCACACATTTCAATAATATCCTTAGTTGCCAGAAGCACTAGTTAAAAGAGAAAACCTCCCAGGATATCAAGAAAGGTCATAGCACAGAAGAAAACTGAAGGCATAAATGTGGCTGACGTAAGAACACTCTCCTGCCACCCAAGGCCCAGGGCGCCAGGCCTCTGCAACCTGTCCAACCTGCTTCACCCTCCAACTCACAAAGCTCGGCATTTATTTTCTCACTAGCTGCCAGCCATCCAGGCCCAACCGAGATGGAGAAAGAGGAGTAGACATTTCACAGGGACAGCCTTGCCTCCTGATCCATGGAGAGGACAGAAGACAGCTGGGCCTGGGTCCACCACCCCCCCACCCCCCGACCAGGCTCACGCAGAAGTGCCTGGGAGCTCTCTCGTCTCCTCCAGCCACAGGCAAACACGCTGTTTCTCCAAGCTGTCAGCAACCCAGGGCCAGGCCACCATCTTCCCTCCCTGCTTCCTCCCTTGTCCCCCTCAAGTCTGCTTGCAACCCAGCAGCCCACCTGTGCTCTGTGAAACACAGATCAATGGCATCCATCCTTCAATACCTGCAAACAGGGCCCTCTCCCTGGAGCCAAGGTCTCCCACAAGCTCCTCACCCAACAGTCCGGCCAAAGCCTCCCCTCTCCTCCCCTCGTTCTGCTCTCCCAGCGGGTCCCCAAGGGCCCTGAGCATCTCCCATTTTAAACCCACTGCCTCCTCCCATCACCTCCTCAGTGAAGCCCACTCTGACCGCGCAATGTAACACTCAGCGCTGCCCCCAGAAGCCCAGACTCCACACCACTCGACTGACTCCTCGCTCCTCTGTCAGCTGCCTGTGCCCCCCGAGCACACATGAGGTCTGGGACTTGCTGGGTTCTCACTGCTGTATCCTGAATGCGCGGCCCCCGGGAGGCTCCCAGGGAGGGGGTGGGAGAGGGGAGTTTTCCTACCCCTCACCCGGCCCGGGCCGGAGAGTAGGAGAACCAACTGGAGGGGGTGGGGGGGGGCGGTCTGGGAGCTCTCCATCCCCACCCCCTCCAGACAAAGCTTGCCACCCCTACTCAGGGCTCAGCACAACTCCCCTGGAACTAAACCTCCCCCTCCACCCTTGGCCCTGTCTCACAAATACAGCTTCCTACCTGCTCTTCAAAAGCACACTCATGGTTCAACTAAAGAGCTTTGTTTACAGAGTGGGGGAGTAAGACTGGGACCTGCAACACACCTGGGTTCAAGCTCTGTGCGGGAAGGTCACACCTCCGGAGGGGCAGGGACGTGTGCAGAAGATGACAGACAAGCACACGGAGCAGGGAGTCCCAGCCTCCCCACCATCCCCGTGGGCGCTGCCAGATTCCCTGCACGCAGGAAGGCCTCGAAGGGCTGCAGCGTCAATCTAGTCAGGGTGGTGCGCTGTCCCTGCCCCCAAGGGGAGATGAGAAAACACAGGAGAAAATGCAGCAGCTCGGCAGAAAGGCCTGGGCGCTCCATTGGGCACAGAGGCACCAGGGACAGCAGCCCAGGCACTCAGGTTAACTCATTAACTGTTACCTCCTGCTCGCTCTTGCTGACTCTCCCAACTCAGTCACCGCCTATGCTCAGTTTCCAGTTTCGTCCTGTTTCTCCCCATGGTTCTATCTATCTGATTAGGATCATTCTTTAATCTTTCTTCTGAAATCAAACTGATAAAAATGTCCCCACCAGCTGTGAGTGTGTCTCACGAGCATGGGGCAAGGACACAGCCGGCAGCCTCAACTCAGCAGCAGTCACTGCGGCCTCCACCCCCAACTCTGGGGAAGGACTGGGTTTCCATCCAGAAAGGAACAGAAACATGAGTTTTCACGAAAAGACAGAACTGTTTCTGTCATGTTTAAAACATATTTCAGTTTCTGTAAAATTTAACATAAAAGACACAGTAGTGTTGTAAAGAAGAGATTTTGTGCCTATGATTTTAAAAACAACAGGAGAAAAAAAAACCAACAGGGACAGTTAACTCTTGTAGCAGCTGAAAGCTATCACCGTTAACTGTCAAAAGGGTGCATTTTATTAACAGGGTGAAGCTGTAAAACTCGAAGATAATAAATAAAAAGTAGCAACAAAGTGCTATGGGTAGTCAGGGATGTGAGGGGCAAACAGAAACACAAAATAATAAAACTCAGGAAAGGCCCCTGAGAGACCTGCAGGGGAAGGAGCGGGATGGTGGCCCATGCCCCCGACCCTCAGGCATGGACAGCCTGGGCTCCTCACAGATGCTCAGGAAACCCGTGGAGCCCCCCTCTGACCCCAACTCTCTGGCTCCACAGGCAGACGCTCCCCTGTGGTGAGGAGGGAATATCCACCAAGCAGATGTTCCTGAGCCCACATCATCCACGCCTGATGACACCACTGTGCTCCCACCTCTGGGAACACACGTGTCCCAACAGATGCTGGGCAACACCCTCCAGGAATCAGGATGTCACAGGTGTTGTGTCCACCAGCTCCAGATCTTCCTAACGAGGAGAAATGAAGGCTGCTGGGCACAGCAAGGTCTGGCCAAGTCTGGCAGCCTCCCCGGGACTCTGCTCGCTAAAAGGCTGCCACCATCTGCATAACCAGCCACCTGGGAGGGTCTTCCCCGGTCCCGGGCCCTCCAGGTCTGTCTGTCCTCTGATTTCCTGAGTCTCCTGAAGGCAGAGCCCCGAGGCACCCCCGCCAGCTAAGCCCACCAGCTTGGAGACTGTACCACTCGTCCCAGGCGGTGTGTCTGTCCTTGCTCTTTCCGTTCTGATCAGTTTCACAGAAACCCTTTTTGCTGTTGTTAGCTTTTCCCCAAACCTCAATTTATTCCCGCTCTCACTGTCTGCCAGTCTTCTGCCTTCGTTCTGGCTTCTGGGGCCCACACCCCCATAGCGGGAGCCAGTCATTCCCCAACTCTGAGCCCAGGAGAGACCCATCAGCCACGCTGGTTTCTATGGGTTTCTCCTCACCGGGCGCATCTACTCCACTGACGGGCTCGTTCTGCACAGGCTCAAAGCCTTCCCTACCTGGCTCCTCTCCAGGCTGCCAGGACGTCACACTACCTTTCCCCTGAATTTCTTCACCACTCTTGACAAAATTAACAACCTCTACTGAGATCAAAGGTCCTGGGTCTCCTTAGAAGCCGTATGTCCACCTGCTCCCCACTACCTCACTCTCCATGGCCAGCTCTCCAGCCCAGGTTTCAACCCCCAGCTTTGGACACAAATCTCACTTCCACATGGCGCACTGGATTAGCAGAAAGGCCCAGGCAGTCTGCATTTGAGGCCAGCTTAGCCACCTCCTCTACACAATGAGGGGGGTTAGCAGGAGGGAGACCTTCAGAGGACGCCCAACACACTGCCCACTATGAAGCCTCAACTCTCACTCACAAAACAACACATCATTCAGTTATACCTGTTAGCTTCCCTCTATACTGAGATGGAGTTCTTATCTGAACTTTTCAACTTTATATGAACTCACAGCAAACTTCAGGCAGCTTCACCACCCTGAGCGGCTCTGAGGGGAAACCAGACTGCACAGCCCTTGACGTCATGAACAATCACATCAAGAGAAGCCTGGCTCTGCAAGACTGTAACTACAAATGTGAATACCTTCACGAAACCTGAGGTGCACCCTAGTTTTTCAAGTTATAACGGACTGCATTACCTACATATCCCCACTGATGAATGGTAATTTAGGAAAAATAAAACAGTAATTATTATATAAGGTTTATTAAAAATCAACTACTCATAAATCCTTACTTCAGGAAACATAGTTTTGACTGCCAAATAAATAGCATTTATCGATAATTTTTAAAAATCAGCTACTTAAAAAATTTAAACACGGCAACTTGAACTTAATCTTCGTTTGTGTGTCTGTGCTCTCAACACTTCAAGTGAATTCAGGTTAATCACCTCTAATACTTAAGCTTCTCTTGTTTGGGATTTTTCTAGTTTTTCATTTTGGTTTGCACAGTTTTGTTTTTTGAAAGAGTAGCATGCATAACGCTGGGCACATGTTGTGTAACACCTGATTCAACACAGGGCACAGGCACTAAAGAGCTCACGCTCTCTACTGCTCGGCATAACCCACCCTGCAGAGCAGGTTAACTTATTAGCCAAGAAGCTCACAGCCCGATTTTGTGGAGCAGAGCCACCCACCCTGCCCAAGCTGTGTGGCTACTCACCTGAGAGATTCCGGGTCTATAGGAGAGTCCAGCAGCACCAGGGCGCCGAGTAGGGGGATGGTGAGGAAGGCTGCCAGCATGAGGAAGGTGGCTCGGAACACTCTGCCACTGAAGGAGCTGCCAGAGACAAAGCACACGAAGGCATCTGCAGGGCTCAGACCGACTGGCCACACCCTCAGCCCTCCGGGCAGGGGCAGCCCTCCCACCCGGCCTGCCCCTTTCGAGGCCACCACCTCCATGGCAGTTACTAAAGGTCAGCACTGTTTGCTAAGATGGCAATCACGCCTTGTTTTTTTTTTTTAATCTTGCGGGGTGTGGAACACTCAACAGTTACCTCCCAGGTAGTCTGATGAGCAGTATCCTGGATCCTCCAGCAGATGCTAAAAGCCGGCAAACCCAAAGAACCAATGGGCCCAAAGTGACGGAGGTGTGAGTGAAGCTGTGGGAAGGAGCCGCCCTCATCCACCGGGAAGACGGCGGCCCTCAGTCACCACCTCTGGCCACCGAGGCTCAGAGCAGCAAGAATAAGAGACACATTCACAAAGGAAATGGAGGTAGAAGATCTTGAAGGTCCAAACCCAACCATTACCAGACACTGAGAACCTACAAAGTCACACCTCCAGACCATCTCTTCAAAAGCCACGGGGAGACCTGACAGTGGCCTGGGACCTCAAGCAGAGTGTGTAGACAAATGACCACTGGGGGCTGAAACACCCTCCAACAACCCTCACAAACGACCTCACTCACTCAAGGGCCAGGCAGCACGTGAAGCCTCCTGCTAAGAAAGAAACTGCCAGGATCACTATTTGCCTGCATCAGGATATTCAGATTCACTAAACACCTGAAGTCAAGAGTAACTTAGAGCAAATTAAAATCCTGAGCTCCTAAAGTGGAAAATCTTTTTCTATCCAAAAAAGCTGACTTGAAAAAAGTTAGGACTCACACTTGACAAACTAAGGGCAATGTTTCATTTGATTTTTGACAAGATGGTTTCAATGAAGAATGCAGAAATTTGGGGGCCGGGGGTGGGCAGTCCACTGCCAGAAGGACAGGACCGAGGGTCACGTCTGACCCAAAGTCTGAGGTCACCACTAACAACACAGCCTGCCGAGGACAGGAGGAGATGCCTGGACCCAGGGCCAGGTTTCAAACACGCTGCACAAGCTAACCGTGTCTTCTCTCCTGGGGGATTTTGGGGTGAAGGCAAACACCCAGTGTGGCCCCGGCAAGCCTGTGCTCAGCACCGTGTGTCCCGCTTCATCCCAGAAGAAGCCCATGGCAGAACTTCCTGTCATGCCTTCCACTGCTCAACAACACAAAAAGTTTTCTGCTCAAATACTAACTGACACTTGTTGGGAGGGGAGATGGGAAAGGGTTACTTAATGGCAACAAGGAGTTTTGTGGGATGAGGACAAGTTTTGAAACCAGAAAAGAGTGGTGGTTGCCCAACAGAAAACATCACTGAACTGTGTGCACTCTAAGGAGGTTCCTTTTACATTATGTACCCCACCTCAAAAAGACGTTAACGGTGACGAGAATGTTCTTCACTTAGACTGTGGTGATCTGTCACTTTAGCAAATCTCTTAAATAACCTAAAAATCCCTGAATTGGACATTCTAAACCAATGACTGATAATATGCGAGTTACAGCTCCACAAAGATGTCCACAAAGTAAAAGTCAGCGACCACCCATCCAGAGGCTGGGACACGCGCCACTCAGGACTTCCTTCGGTGCCTGGTCTGTCAGTGTGACGACCACAGCTTGCGACTGCACGGGCAGAGGGTGTCTGCAAGGGCTTCGGGCAGGAATGACGTGGTCCTGTGGTTCCTTCGAAAGTAGAGTCCCAAAGAGCAGGCCACATGGCACTGCACAAATCGTCCCTCAGAGCCCACGAGGAAGGACCGGTGTCTTGCCAAGGGGCCTGATGCAATCAGCCACGCCCACCCCGAATAGAGTTGCAGCCCCTGGGGGAAGCTGTCTTGTGCAAACTCACCAACGAAAGTGGTGACACTGGCCAAAGTCTCCCTTTCCCTTTTCCTTGCCAAACACATTTCCACATAAAACAGATCCTTCCTGTCTAACTTGGACTCTATGCCAACTCTCCTTTTCTATGTGGTAGTGTATATTTTAAAATCTTAATTTAAGAATGTGATTCGGAGCTTGTCGCAGCGTGCCTGAAGACCTGGTTGCCCCTTCCTAAAACAGGGAAAACAAGAAGTCCAGCCTGGATAGAAAGTGACTGCTTGCAGCTAGAAAGGCGGCCAGAACTCCAGCAAAGCCTCGTGTCCACACGGTGCGACCTGCCTGGCAGGTTCAAGCCCCAGTTGTTCCTGATGTATGGCTGGACACCGCCAACCTGATCCAACCCCTCTCCAGAGAAAGAAGTCCATCAGCACCCTAGCTGAGCACCAGCCAGTTCCTACTGGAAAGCTCCATACAGGGTCTAGTTTTAGAACCGGCAGCTCAGCCCCACACTGTTTACTTCCTCACTGCAGGCTGGGACTCTAGCTCTGCAGGACCATCAAACTCCAACTTTACATATCCAGTAACTTGATAAATGGCCCAAACACGGAAATTTTTAGCCATTCAGAGCCCGCCTGCTTTATGTGTTCAGTGAAACGTTCCCAGACAGGGGCTCGGTTCAGTTCAGTCGCTCAGTCGTGTCTGACTCTTTGCGACCCCACGGACTGCAGCATGCCAGGCCTCCCTGTCCATAACCAACTCCCGGGATTTACTCAAAGTCATGTCCATTGAGTCAGTGATGCCATCCAGCCATCTCATCCTCTGTCATCCCCTTCTCCTCCTGCCTTTAATCTTTCCCAGCATCAGGGTCTTATCAAATGAGTCAGTTCTTCACATCAGGTGGCCAAAGTAGTGCAGTTTCAGCCTCAGCATCAGTCCTTCCAATGAATATTCAGGGCTGATCTCCTTTAGGATGGACTGGTTGGATCTCCTCGCAGTCCAAGGGACTCTCAAGAGTCTTCTCCAACTCCACAGTTCAAAAGCATCAATTCTTCGACACTCAGCTTTCTTTATGGTCCAACTCTCACATCCATACATGACTACTGGAAAAATCATAGCCTTGACTAAACAGACCTTTGTTGACAAAGTAATGTCTCTGCTTTTTAATATGCTGTCTAGATTGGTCATAACTTTTCTTCCAAGAAGCAAGAGTCTTTTAATTTCATGGCTGCAGTTACCATCTGCGGTGATTTTGGAGCTCAAGAAAATAAAGTCTGTCACTATTTCCACTGTTTCCCCATCTATTTGCCATGAAGTGATGGGACCAGATGCCATGATCTTAGTTTTCTGAATGTTGAGTTTTAAGCCAACTTCTTCACTCTCCTCTTTCACTTTCATCAAGAGGCTCTTTAGTGCTTCTTCGCCTTCTGCTGTAAGGGTGATGCCATCTGCATATCTGAGGTTATTGATATTTCTCCTGGGAATCTTGATTCCAGTTTGCGCTTCATCCAGACAGTGGCTACCCTTCAATAAAACAGAGCCTCACCACTTCCAATGAATATTCATTGGAAGGACTGATGCTATAGCTGAAGCTCCAATACTTTGGCCACCTGATGGAAAGAACTGACTCCTTGGAAAAGACCCTGATGCTGGGAAAGACTGAAGGCAGAAGGAGAAGGGGACAACAGAGGATGATCACCAGCTCGATGCACATGAGTCTGAACAAGCTCTGGGAGTCAGTGATGGACAGGGAAACCTGACGTGCTACAGTCCATGGGGTAGCAAAAAGTCGGACACGACTCAGTGACTGAACTGAACTGAACTCCACTCCTACCCCAACTCCTGCCCTTAGAGCTCTCTGACCCTCACCTTGACCCAGAAGCCCCTCTTGTCCCCTCCCCTATGAGACTCCGCCACATGCAAACCTGTCAGTGCCACCAACAAAGCTCAGGTGGCTGCTGTCACCTCACAGCCATATCACTTTCCTTCATCAGCCCTAGCAATCACCAAACCCACTACATAACACAAATAAGAATGTGAATTTTTAATTTGGGCTCATTTTAATTAATTTAGACTTAAGTAGTTACATGTGGCCAAGTGGCTGCCACATCAGACAGCACCCCCTGGGAGCCCACGAACACTCTGTGACTACCTGCGCACATGGCAGGCAGGCGGCCCGGCCCTGAGAGGAGAGCAGTCAAGTGCCCACCCTCCGTGCCGCCTGGGGTGGGCGAGGCCAGACAGGTAGCGACCAGCACAGAGGGCAGCAGTGCCTCAGGTCGGCAGAGGGTGGGGAGGGTTTGAAGCCCATGGACTCTGCTCAGAGATTTCAGGAGAAGCAACCGGGCAGAGCCACGCATCTGAGGAAACACAGGACTCAACGAGCTCCGGGCACAGGTGAGAGCCATGTGACCCTGGGCACTGAGTCTGTAACTGGCGGGTGCACAGGTCCTAGAGGTGAGGTCACAGAGCTCCTGACCCAGGCTCTGGGAGCATGATTATTGTAGCCCAAGGTTCATTAACTTTTTTGGCAGGCCCATCTCACTGCTGGCTCCTGTGAACTCGGAGTCAACCACAGTTCTGCATCTGCTCTGTAACTGCCCGACCACACACTGCACTGTGCTCCAATGCAAAGTCATGTCTGACTCTATACAACCTCAGGGACTATAGCCCGCCAGGCCCCTCTATCCACAGGATTCTCCAGGCAAGAATACTGGAGTGGGTTGCCATTTCCTCCTCTGGGGAATCTTCCCAACACAAGGCTCGAACCTGCATCACCCGCCTGCGTCGCCTGCACTAGCCGGCAGATTCTTCACCACTTGAGCCACATGGGAAGCTGTGCACAACTGCACTACGTCCACTCATCTGAAAGACCTCCGTTTATCCAAACCACCTTCACCAACACAATGCCGCACAGGCCCATCCTGCTCTCTTCAGTCTGTGCTGACACACCCCAGAAGGCCAGGCCCTCCCTCCCAGGTGCCACCCAGGAGGTCAGCTTGTTTGCCCCAACCCCTACACCTGCACCCTCAGATCCACGCCTGGGATGCACAGGATCTGACAACTACCAACGGCTCAGTCACAACTTACAGAATCCCGTTAAATGGGACTTAATGGGGCAAAATGTGGCGACAGGTGTCCTCTAATGGCTTCTGCACACATCAAGGCCTCGAGGCACAGACTGAAGTCCTGGCCCACACGCTCCATGAGATCAACACAGACCTGTGATTTCAGGCCCAAATCCAGGAGACACCGGAGCCCCGGGTGCTGAGGTGATCCCTGGAACCCGAGACTCACACACAATGGCCCAGTCCTTTCAAGTGACCACGCCCTGCATTGGTTCACTTTCCACAGTCCTTTAAGCCAGGACTCCAAGACTGCAGGCACTGTTTTAGCGCTGACACCAAATTGAAAACATGGTAAAAGAGCAATCTGAAAACACACACCCAGGGGAAGGGCTGAGAAAACTCTGGAATCCTAGCTCCCCACAACCTCAAGAATTACAACAGCCCAACCTGTCTCTCCCCACTGTCTCCCTTATGCTTCAGTATTAAAAACGAAAATGGACCTACAAGAGATCTTTAATTAGTGTGAAACTCTTTGGAAGCTTACTGAAAAAAAAGCTGGTAACTTTTCAACTCTTCACTCCTAAACAAGTATACATGGACATTAAACAGTTGTTCTCTCCTCTCAGACAGAACTATGTTCCAAAAGGGAAGGAATCCTTTCTGGGTTACAATCACTCTGTCAATAAACTTCTTAAACATGTGGGGAAACTGATGCCAAATGACAATCATTAGAAATCTACACTGGGGACTTCCCTGGCGGTCCAGTGGTGGTTAACACTCTGCAATTCCACTTTAGGGGGCGCGGGTTCAACCCCTGGTCAGGGAACTAAGATCCTGCATGCCACACCAAAAAAAAAAAGATTACTGTTCAGATACAGACACTCAACAACTTTGAAATAAAACATCTCCAAAACCTAATTTTAAAAATACACTTCTCATTGTCCAGAAGCCAATTCTTTCATTTGTTTTAATGTCTCTTGAGACTCTATTCCTCTGTAACTTTACAAAAACCATGTCACTCACAAAGACTTCAATGACCTCACCAGCAAAGCAGAGCTAATGCCACCACTCATGCCAGAAGCCAGGAGACTGGGCAAGGTATCATTCAGTGTCCCATCCACTAAAATCTATTGCCCTGCTTCTGTAAACTGAAGCGAATTTCCTGCTTTTGTAAATTGTCCCTTCTTTATTCTGTTCAGCACATCTAAAGTTTACTATATAGTCATCACATTTCTATTTCCTTCAGATTCCTTTCCTTCATTCATTATACACAATACTTTCTTGTCTTAGAGTGAACCCTCAAATTTTAAGGTAGTCAAGATGACAATCAGATGAACTACTAGAAACCACTACAAAAGAAATGAAAACTAGAAACCTGCATGATAAAAATAAGAAAAAGCTAAAGAATTACAATATACACATAGGAAGGAAGGTGGGTGACAGGAAACAGACTGTTACAAAGACCCAGAAGAGGATCAAAGAAGAGAAGGGGAAACACAGGAAAGCCAAGAAAATGTCTTAAATCAACAGAGAGCAAAAGGCACCCAGGGGAAGACTAGCAACAGGTGAGGACTTTGAAACACAAAGTAACCTTGCCATTAAGGAAATCCCAGAGAAACTGAAAAACAATTAACTCTGCCCCCT